CGTACAAGTGCGTGGCTAAGGTGAGACGAGCTGCAAGCCACAGATGTGCACGGTGCCAGGACAAAACACCGTATTGACTTCTTGATTTTCTTCAGCACCAGCCTACAATGGGCATAGTAGCAGAACATAGTCTGAAGCTGTAAAACTAAGGAGGAGCCAGCTGGTCATTCGTTCTTATTCTGAAGATGAATAGTTAGAGGAAATGTGAACGAATTGACCAGTACTAATTTAGATCGAATTGACAATTAGAAAAATCGTGAGAACACACTGATGCAACAACATAATATTGGGCAAATAATATCGATTTGTTCTATTGATATGTATTTCTTATTGTTTTTTTTATTTACTTGTGTGCAAATTGAACACATTTTATGCCTCGATGGAGCAACATAAAATTTTACGATCCAAACTGGACTGTCTTCCGATGAATGCACGGAAGTACATTGAATTTACTCATGCTGTGTGAACAGGATCGGCCTACCGCACGAGTCGACCTAGTGCTGAAAAATCGCTCCCTGTACTACCTCAGCAATACCTACATTCCATCGATAATTCTACTCGTTATTGGGTAAATTTAAAATGCGTATATAATTGTTCATTAGCGAAGCAAATTCTAGCTAGATAAAAATTGTTAAGCACGAGTCATAATTTTCATGGCAATAGCCTTGTTCGGCAGCGGACAAGATTGTCCTATCAAGAGTGTTTAATACGAGTCATAGTTTTTTGAGCCCTGCATTATTCGGCAAAGATCATACACGTTTCAATCAGAAATTGTTCAACACGTGTCATAGTCTTTGTAACCCTTGCATTATACATTTAGAGTCAAATAATTTTCAGTATGTCCGTATCACCACCAGCTACTTGACTCTATTCTTCCCGATCGACGACTTCCCGACCCGAGCTATGGTCACCCTCACTTCGCTGCTCGTGGAGACTGCGTTCTTCAGTCAAGTGGGTGTTGATGATGTATTCCAACAACCCATCGTTATCGAGTGCATTGATCATTATATGTCTTCTTCAAAAATATTATGAAAAACGAACGTACTCAATTGTCGCGGAATATTGATAGGAAAATTAATTGTCAGAAAACTATAGATATTTTATCACCTCTCTTCACGCGTAAATGCGTTGAGTTTGTTTAATTGAAAGTGAATATAGAGACAAATTCAAGAAAGTAGTAATTAATAATGTGTTGTTGGCATCAGCTGGTATACGTTTTAAAAATTTTGTCAACGTAATCCAATATTAACTGGATTAAATTTCCAATATTAAGTGGATTAAATTTTATTCTACGTAATAATGGTAGTTTTTACGACAACTTCCTTTCCCATCGTCTATGAAAACTTGGAAGAGTAGGTGAGTGATTCGGTGCCCCGAACGAGCGAAGTGAAGCATATCGACGTGTGGTGCCTGGGCTGCATATGCTTCTTGTTCTTGGTGTTCCTCGCGCTCACGCTCATCAACACGCTGCTGCTGCGCGTCACGCACCCACAGGTGACTTTCTTGAAATAGCACGATCTTTAAATTTGAAATATCATAGACAAGTCAAATTAAGTCGACAGAGATTTTCCTCTCCTGTTTGCTACTTGCTAAGTAAAGATATTCATAGGTGACTTCCTTGAAATAGCACGATCTTTAAATCTGAAATATCATAGACAAGTCAAATCAAGTCGACAGAGATTTTCCTCTCCTGTTTGCTACTTGCTAAGTAAAGATTTTCTCTATAATATAAGCTATATAATTTCATAGGTGACTTCCTTGAAATAGCACGATCTTTAAATCTGAAATATCATAGACAAGTCAAATCAAGTCGACAGAAAATTTTTTCTCCTGTTTCCTACTTGCCAAGCGAAGATATTCATAGGTGACTTCCATACCTTTAACCCTGACTGTTCTTCTTCCAGAATAGGCAAAATAGACTCTGAAATAATAAAATTCTGTAGAACATTGATTTTATGAATATTGATTTTCTTTAAGTTACTAAGACTGACTGCATTAAACGGATCGCGATACAATATTATTCATTGAACAAGATAACTATCAGATAACGTATCAGTAAATGTAACTAGAATGCTCAAGTTATTGCTAAACAAACTTGATTTTTAATTTATGACGGTAATTAAAAATGTGTTCTAAGTTAAATTTATTCAGTTTTCAAACCGAGTGAACAAGGGAAATGTGATTTTATGACTTGCTGATGGGTGTGGTATGAAGTTAACACCAAACATTATTTTCGATAAAACTAAGATGAGAAAAATACGCGTAATCCATTGTTAAGCAGCTGAATTATCCTCTAAATTGCAGGGAACAAATTTGATTGAAAGTAAATTAATTCCAGTGAATGATAGTGTTTCATTTTTGGCAACTTTTGCATTGTTTATGCAGGCTCTTCGATCAACAAGTAGACATCGTGTGATGCCATTGCCTCGTACTCAGCCTGATTCGGAAGTTACCACGACTCGACAACAATTATCAAAGATAACAGAAGTTAAGAGCGTCAACGAAATTTTCTTGGGCCCAACACCGACATCGGACAATCCAGACAAATTCGCCTCCCGGTGCCTTCCTCTACCTGGTCCGCAAGATTCATCTGCTTTAGTAGCTCGACGTCTGAATTTTTGGAGCATCATTCTATTCCCACTTTTCTTCTGTGCATTTGTTCTGTGGTATTCATACCCAATTATCTCAACAGGCAGAAATTCTCTCTGCTGAACTCCTCAAGACTTTTTATTATTATTAAAGCAGCCCCGGCAACTATCGCCCTGTCAGTCTGACAAGTGTTGTTTGTAAGCTAATGGAATCTGTTGTGAGGGATAGGATTATCGATCACTTGACTGCTCACCATCTCATATCAGATTGTCAACATGGTTTTATTGCCGGTAGATCCTGCACCACTAACTTATTATCTACGTTGAACGTGGAACAGCCTCCCCGATGTCATCGTTGGCGCTCCAAGTATGAACGCGTTCAAGAACAGACTAGATAAAGCTATGGAAAATATATGTTCAGATTTGAAATGCCTATCACCATATCGAACCCGGTGGAAGTCGAGTAGCTATTTCAAACTTTCGTCAGTCATGAAATATTACGGTTAAATGACACGATTTCGAACTTCTGTGAACAAGGCACGAAAAGGAAAAGAATCGGCGACAGGCCACATCAGGCCTACACTGCAGATCACTATGTTACGTTATGTTAAGACTTTTAAAATCTTTCCAATGTCCAGTGATTCGAAAACTAATGTGAGGCAGAGGGATGGATGATGGAGAGCGACAAAGGGGAGGAAATATTCAATTTCGTGTCAGCAAGTTTTTCTTGGTCAGACTCTGATCAGCCCAGATTCTGAGATGAAATTGCTCTTATTCTGCACTATAGACAATAATATTTGCTTTCCCGGAGTATTCCGTCTGGCGTTCTTTCTATACACGCTAAGTTAATAGTTTTAGTCTCGTGAGAAGTAGAGCTCTCTGTGGGCGGAAGCACCATGTCTGTAAACGCACTGAGCACTTTAATAAGAGACAACTTGTGAGCAGCTGATCGTCGGTTGGATTTGCAGTACTTCAGTGTAAAAGGAGTATGTCAGTTTGACGATCGAAGGTGGTCTTTTATATGTACGCATCTCTTGTACTATACTGTACCCTCAACCCAGTGTTAAGAAAAGTGTATTAACGACCGCGTCTTTCCTTTTCCCTCACAATAGTCGAAGAATTATTTCGTCTGGTGAATATATAGAATGTATAGAATGAATGTATAGAATGTATATAACCAGGAGTGACACGAATATAAAGTTAATTGTAAGTTACCAGCAATAATAGCAGCATTTTATTCATACCGCTATCAATCAGCATTTTATTCATACCGCTAATATAGTTGTAGAGTTAAGTTTAAACCCGCCTTGAGGGCACTCGTGTTATGGACACGTGGTTCTATTGGAATAAAGACGACTGGTTTCATATTATTCTCGTAGGTATATCATGCGTTTCTCTCCTCTTTTTCAAAGATCATCATCTACAGATCACAACAGGATATTGGTCTAATTAAAACGTATTATATAGAATCCTGCGCGTGTAGCACTATACCAACCATCTCTGTATCATGAACGTTTATTACACGGGTTGCTGCTACTTCCGTGCCGAATGCACATGAACAATCTAAAATTATTTTCAAATGTAGATTGTTTGCGAATATTATGCGGAGCAAGTTCAAATTAGTAAATTTTTAATAATAAATTATTAATTCAGGTAAGTAGATAGCCATGGCTGAATTTCTACGTTCTGCAGCGTAGGATACAGTGCAAAAATTATAACCCAAATAAAATTTTTCAAGTTCAGATGGACATTGCTTACAGCGGGATATTGAGTTCACTGTGCGATGTCAGGGAAATTAACTTCATCTGCAGCTGATTGCTGCCTCTTGATCTACTGAGATTAAACTTCAGTTTTTTATTCAAATTACGAGGGAGCTACAACAATTTTCTTATCACCTCAGAGTTTTATGATGTTATTATTTATTAGTTATGACTTATTTTATAATATTTATTAATATTGGAACGGTTTGTTGTTTCAACAAAGCTGATAATCAATTAGTAAATAATTTTTGGCCAATAATGGACATTTGGCTTGAAAAGTCACGGGGTAAGAGTAGAGAATAAACAAAAAAAGTCCAGGTATCAGTGGCGTAGCCATTTCGCTGTTTCCACTCACAAAGTTTTTGTTGTTTTCGAACAAAACCATTAAAGCAGGATTACAGTGAATTTTTAACTGATCACATAACATATGATGATTTTTATTGCAGACGCAATCAAAACTGAATTAGATTAGAATTAGAAAAAAAACTGAATTAATAGCTAATATTTTATATTTGACTTAATATTTATAGGATTCATTCTAATTAATACGAATGGTTTTTTGTCCATTTACAAATGTTCGTAACTCTTGAAGTCGTGAATGTCAATATGAAAGCTTGACTGCCCGTTTGCTCAAATATTGCGGCACATATTGCCATAACAGGAGCCGGCTCGTGCAAAGCAGCGTGCATTCTCGGTGACAATTCTATTATTTAATCAGCCTTTATCTAATAAATTATTGAATGCTATGATGTTGTAGAAGAATAAATACGTAAATTACACTGATAAAGCATAGTTACTTTCTTTGGATATTCATTCTTTCAAGTCAAATTTGCTAATTGCTAGCGACTTGTCGCCGACGTTCGACGTATTACAAGTAGACCTAATCATACCTATCAATATTCAAAATGCCAGTCCAAGCACTACAGATTTTACGACCACTTTCTATTTTCGGTGTGTATAAATGTTTTCATGCTAGGGTGTAGCCTGCAACTGGTAGGCTAGTATGTAACTATTTTTAAGAAAAGGAATCGCTCATTAAATGTCTACTTTCTTTGATTCAACTTTTTGGTTGCTACCTTTACCTATACCTAGATTTAGTTTTTAATCAATGCTGCTGCAATTACCTAGGACTTCATATTTTCTGATGGTAATGAATATGATCAATGATCATTTTGTTGAATTCCTATGGCCATAAGGCATGAAGCTGAGAGACTGAATTTTTTGAGATCCATTGTAATTCATTGTTGGGATCACTATTCACTAATCCATCATTTTGAGATCTATTATCAATTTATCCTAGACCCTAGTAGCTAATAGAATAGACTAACAGACCAAACAAAGTGACATTAGCTACTACTAAACTATTTGTATCATGGATACTTGCTATGAGTGGGCCAGAGTGGCTAATGGCTATCCAGCATTATCATACATAGCTATAAATATTGAACTAAATTTGAATCTATGTTAGGAAATCAAAACTATTAAACATTAGAGAATTAGAATCAAACTGGTTTCTGCTGATTGCTTGTCAATGTCTCAATGACTCATCATCATGATGAAAAGGGAAAATTGGGCACAGCCTCACAGGTGGCTTAACTGTGAAATTGTGAATCATCGACACTGCCAAAAACGCCCATCGGCCATCATTTTATCATTCCCATCATCCCATCATGCATCATCCCATGAATCTGGCCAATTTTACCAGTCCCCATAGTCTTTTCTTTTCCCAATTTGCTCAGACACTAGTCTGGAAAAGTCCTATTTTTGTCTGAAATATCGCAGCTCTAATATCATATAATTTCAGTAGGTATGAAATCTCGCGGCTCGAATGTCATAAATTTTTGTTTGATTTACGGCTCGGTGAAATAGAATCATGGCTCGTAGAAATGGAATCACGGCTGGCAAATCCATAAAACCACGGCTCGAAAAATTCAGTCGCGGCTCGCCAAGTAGATATATTCCATACTAGCTCAGACATTGGTGATAAATAAGAAAAATGGTCTTATTTCTCCAGTAATTTTGTAAAATCACCTCAGCCTGCATAGTGGCAAACCACAGATTTTTTAGAATCGGTTCATTTTCAATTTTCTCATTTACCCAAGATTTAAATCAATTTCTTATGTATGATACTGCTGGTATCCAGGATTCTTTACTGGTCTACTTATAGGACTCACAAATGAACTTGAGGGAGAGTCTAAAAAACTCTCTGCTTTGCCTCTATAATCACCTGTGACCTGTAAAAGGATAGTTTCTGCCTGCATCACTACCATTTTAGGAACTTTCTGCTCAAGATTTCTAAATTGTAATATGACACACAAGTTGAATTTTGTAGATGAGACAGTATTTGTACATTTTAATTTTGTTAGGCAAAACATTTTTATGCTTTATTCCATACCTTTGTAAACCTGTTAAGATTAATTTAATTTTACATTTGAGTTCTTACAGCTGTAAGCTGGCATCTGCCAGCTGGTATTCCTAATTATAACTTCAAGACTTGAGTTTTCAACTTCCCATGGATTTCCCAGCCAATTTGTTAGATCAGTTTTCTTAAGTTGCCAAGTTAAGTTGCACAAGTTTTCTTAAGTTGCCAGTAATAATGATTGTTTGATTTTTTCATAGGTGATTTTTAAAATTGTATGTAAAATAGGCTGTAAAAATTCATTAAATCAATTAGGAAAAAGGCATAAAAACTGGTAAAATTGGCCAAATGAACATGCATTTTTGTCTAATTCACTGGCAGCTTTTGCCAAATTTTTGAATTGGGAAGCGACATTATGCATGATTTGCTTAGTTTTACTGCTGATCCTAACTTGCTAACTGCAGTTTGCAAGGCCTGTTTTAGTGCTTTTCAGCTTTTCATATGTAGGCAACGCTGTAGAACGCCTCTTGGTGATCAGGATTTGAATTTTACCATTTCAAACTGGAATCTCAAGGCTCTGAAGTAAGATATTTTCAATAAATTTGAAATCTTGATGCTCTATTGCAGGGGTCTCCAAACTTTTTTAGTGTGCGGGCCATATTAAATATTTCCCATATTTATGCGGGCTGAAAGAATAAAAAATAGAAAAGCAAAAAAAGTGCCGGTAATTTTATTTACACAAATGTTAAATTATAAACCTGGAAAAAATAAAATATAACATTTTGGGAAAAAATCGGGGTAAACTAAATAGATGCCTGTCTTTCGCTTTATCTGAGTTTTTTAGTTTAGTTTTATGTTGCTCCTGTGATGTGAGAATAACTTGAGCCATGTTTAGATTCATAGTGTCGACGAATATTGTATTTCTTCAGAACAGCAACACTATCTCTACATGCGAGGCATACAGCTTTATCTTTTACCATCATAAAAAATGCTTTATCTTCCATTCGTCATTAAACTGACAGCACTCATTGCCTACTTTTCTTTTCTTTATCTTTTTCAAATCTGAAAACACAAGGGTAAAATAAATGAAATAAATTCTACAGGTAAAAACGGTTTGTATGTGGTGTTAAAAAGCATAGTATATTATTATAAAGTGGTAAATATCATGGCAACAGCTATCATTGATAAACTTAATAGTTACCATTTAACTATTTCAAACAAGCAATATTTTTGGCTACAATAGTATTGTTGCTATTTTGTATTACCAAGATAAAGGTATTGTGGAAGTACAGAGAAAAGAATATTTACAGTGCTGTGCTCCCTGAAATGGAAGCAGCGAAGCCCCACTCGGCCTCCATCCCCCCAATACACAGTTATACACAACTGACAGGTTGTAATGCACAACACATACCTGCCAGTATTAGTATCTGTATGTCACACTATCGAGAGAGAGGAAAACTGACTCGGGCTGGGTGCCACCAGTTAGCAGGTCCCAGCTTTGAATAATTCTGCGATGCCATTCATACAATAATTATTCATACATTTCACGATTTCATCTGGCGGGCCGGATGAAATTATGTGGGGGCCGGATGTGGCCCGCGGGCCATAGTTTGGAGACCCCTGCTCTATTGTATACTTTTATTAACAATTAGAACCTAATTCATCTATTGTCAATGTCACTAACTTAGCCCTGTCACTTTTGGTGCTGCCGTTCAAAAGAAACAATTTGTTTTGTTAACAAACTGAGCCATAATTTTCTGGCAAGATAAAGAAGCTTCTTGGTTATCACATGGCAATTGAAGCCTAGTAGGATTGTTCCTCACAAATTGATTTAGAATTTAATTAAGTTTCTACCATCATGTCTCAAAATTTTAATGGAAGTACTAAAACAGTTGTAAATCAAGTTTTCCCAAGGTTCCAAGTCCTTTAGCTGCAAGGCTGCCAATCTAGACTCCAATGTCAGAAGCATAGTCAGGCCCCATGCATGCAATCAGGGTTGGCAATGATTAAATCAAAATGATTAAATCATGTGATTAAATCACTTGATTTTTTATAAAAAATCATGATTTTTTTTATTTTTTCAATTTTTTCATATATTTAAATATATTGAGTGGCAGTCTTTAATTTATATTGAGGTATTGTTATTCATGGTTTAGTATAAATGTACTATGAATGACAAATTGGTATATAAACTTGTTGCTTTTAGTGTGTATTAGGTTCCAATAAATTGAATGTTTTTGGTACAGAGGCATCAAGTGTGCAATACCGTCAAACGGGGTAAAAAGGGATGGATTTGAGTGTTTTTTGTTAATAACTTCTTACCATGAAACATTTCAGAAACAAGTTTAGGCTCATTTTATAGCTCTTTGCGAGGGCTATCGAATGGCATCTTCAAAAAAATTCCATATGCTATTAGTGAGGTCGTAGACGCAAAATAAAACCGTCCCGATTTACCACTCAAAGCGGAGTAATCCGGGACACTTGCAATAAAAGGTAATTTTAAAAAATTTGAAGCATGCAGAGCGTACTCACCCATTACTAACAGTACTCTGAAGTCCTCCTCTTTCATTGTAGATGATGTAGATGTAAAATAAATGACATTTTCTATGATTTTTACTAGTTTTTCCTTTATTGATATGATATTACCATATTCATTAATTACCGTATTATTGATGTGATATTACTGTATCCATGGACATGCCATTGAGCATTGACAACGACCTTGTCCACTGCAAGCTTCATATCAGCAGCCATGTAGCATTTCTTCTGTATCTGTTAGCTTACAGGATGGTTTGTAATTTTACACAATTTTAATCCAGTTGAGTGATTTCACTATAACAAAAAAGATCGTGAAAAACATACTGGAACAGAAAATAATGTTTTAGTGACAACCATCATATGTTGTAGAGAAATAAATCATAGTTTAGGTCAATTACTTTTCATTCTATGATGCCTGGTGCACAATTCTATATATAGCATTCTATGTACAATTTTGTGACGACCGATGATGCACCAATTTTTCGATGAGTGAATTTTTTTTCGCTGAGTGAGGTAAATGTAATCAAAATTCTTTGTTGTTAATCAATTTTTTTGTTAACCGGAGCCTTTGCTAACTCAGGTTCTAGTGTAAATGCATTTTTAAGGGTGTCCTTTTTACCCTGGGGGGTGTCCCGAGTAGCCCTGCCGTGCGGAAATGGCTGCCATTTTTTTTTTGAACAAGATAGGCAAATTCCGTCAATTACATTTCAAGCCGACACCTGGGTGCAACTTTTATGTAAGTAAAATTTTTTCATACGGCGAATATTTTTGTTTGCTCCAGACCTTAGCAGAGGTACTTTTCCAAAATCGCACTTTTCACACTTTTTTCAGCAATTTTTTAGAGATGGTAAATGTTAGATTTCTTGACTAGTTTTATACATAATAGATAGTAAAAATGTTGAAGTTTACACCACTATTTTTAGTTTTGCAATATTTTGATTAGTTTAGCTGCTACAACATTCCTACGAAATGTAGGAGGCACGTCCCGATTTACCCCGAAAAGTTTATTTTTATTTTTAAGTTTAAGAAAGTTTATTTTCCTCAAGATTAGCATAACATACCATTTAGAATACTTATGTTTTGAAAACAATATCAGGAAGATGTGTCCATTAGTGTGTCCGCAACACACTGTTGGAGTCGTTCTCGGCAGTTTCCTACAGCACATTCACACATATGGCAAGGTATGGTCATAACCTCTGCTGCAATAATCCATTCCCTTAGCTGTGGTAGGGTGTGAAGGCAACTTCTGAACACCCGCCTTTTAGATGTCCCCAAAAATGAAATTGCAAATGCTCAAATCAGGTGACCTTGCAGGCCACTGTAAATCACCCCTCAGAGACACCAGACGTCCAGGAAACGTGCGTTTCAAAACATTGAGTGACATTCGGGCTGTGTGAGCTGTAGCCCCATCCTGCTGGAACCACATGTCTCCCAATGCTTCATTTTCAACAATGTTTTCCATCATGGGCTGAAAGATATTTTGCAACATTGCAGCATACTGAGCATAGCAATCGGAATTCACTGTTACGGTTACTCCCTCCTCTGAGAATGACTCCAACAGTGTGTTGCAGCTAACGGCCCCCATCTTCCAGATATTGTTTTCAAAACATAAGTATTCTAAATGGTATGTTATGCTAACCTCTAGGAAAATAAACTTTCTTCTTTATGTACCTCCATTACTCTTTTATTTTACCTCAAAACTGCCCAATCCTCAACCTCTAGGAAAATAAACTTTCTTCTTTATGTACCTCCATTACTCTTTTATTTTACCTCTAAACTGCTCAATCAGTTCTGCCCCACCCTGTATATTGAGAGGCTGAGATTGTATTGACCTTTTAGGCAATTAGAATTATTTTCCACCCTAATACGAGTATTCTAATTAAAATATTTAATTTTAATCTTTAAATATGTGAATTTAAAACTAGAAACAAAACAATTAAAATTATAAGACTATATATAAAATAATTAAATGTAGTGAATGGATATAAAATATTTGAATTGTGCGCATGTTTATTTCAAACAGTGTTAGATTTTCTCATAACCTAAGTCTGGTTTCAAGTCGTATGATGCAAGTCGTATTATGTATAATGCTAGTCAAGAAATCAAACATTTACTATCTCTAAAAAATCGCTGAAAAAAGTGTGAAAAGTGCGATTTTGGAAAAGTACCCCTGCTAAGGTCTGGAGCAAAAAAAATATTCGCCGTATTAAAAAATTTTACTCACATAAAAGTTGCACCCAGGTGTCGGCTCGAAAATGTAATTGACGGAATTGTCCTATCTCATTCCAAAAAAAATGGCAGCCATTTCCGCACGGCGGGGCTACTCGGGCACCCATTTAATTAGGGACACCCTTAAAAATGCATTTACAGTAGAACCTCAGTTAGCAAAGGTTCCAGTTAACAAAAAAATTGATTAAAAACAAAGAATTTTGATTGCATTTACCTCGCTCAGCAAAGAAATTCACTTATCGAAAAATTAGTGAATCATCGGTCATCACAAAATTGTACATAGAATGCTATATATAGAATTGTGCACTGGGCATCATAGAATGAAAAGTAATTGACCTAAACTATGATTTATTTCTCCAAAACATATGATGGTTGTCACTAAAACATTATTTTCTGTTTCAGGTATGTTTTTCACGATCTTTTTTGTTAAAGTGAAATCGCTTGACTCAATTGAAATTGTGCAAAATTACAAACCATCCTGTAAGCTTAGATACAGAAGAAATGCTACATGGCTGCTGATATGAAGCTTGCAGTGGACAAAGTCGTTGTCAATGCTCAATGGCATGTCCATGGATACAGTAATATCACATGTTTAATACGGTAATTAATGAATATGGTAATATAATATCAATAAAGGAAAAACAAATAAAAATCACAGAAAATGTCATTTATTTTACATCTACATCATCTTCAATGAAAGAGGAGGACTTCAAAGTACTGTTAGTAATGGATGAGTACACTCTGCATGCTTCAAACGTTTTAAAATTAACTTTTACTGCAAGTGTCCCGGATTACTCCGTTCCCAGGGGTAAATCGGGACACTTTTATTTTGCGTCTGGCACCTTATGAATAGCATATGGAATTTTTTTGAAGATGCCATTGGATAGCCCTCGCAAAGAGCTATAAAATGAGCCTAAACTTGTTTCTGAAATTTTTCATGGTAAGAAGTTATTAACAAAAAACGCTCAAAACCGGCCCTTTTTACCCCGTTTGATGGTATATTTGATTCATAGTCATGTTCTGCATGGGTTGTATACAAATCATCAAACAAATGTACAGACTTCTGACTTCGACTTCGTGGACTGCCACCCCCCCCCCCCCTACTGCCCCTTTCTTCCTCACTGCCCCTCCAGACCTTTCCACCACCCCCAGAGCGGCAATATTGCCCGCTTGGGGAACTACTGCCCTATACAGTTTTGCATGCTGATTCAGACAAAATTCTAATTAAAGGAGCACTACATTGACTACAATTAACACGTTGACTCCGAAGTGGTACATATGTGTACCACAAAATGTATTTCTCCAGGACGTAGTGGTACATAATTCTGGTTGCTTAAAATTGGCCAAATGTGAGAACAAAAAAGGCCTAAAAAGGCCGATAGCTCAATATATACTAGTTAATTTGTAGGTTCCACTATAAACATTCCATTTATTTTCTTCTTGCAGTATTTAAAATTTAATTAGGAAGTACCCCTATCATGAATTTTAGCTGGCCAACACAATTGAGAAAAACGAAATCACGGAATTTGTCCTGAAAAAATGACCGTCTGGCAAGTGGCAACCCTGTTTAAAAACAGTACAAAAAATGAAATAATAGTACAAGATGAAGCAATCGTAGTCAACGTGTTAATGTGTGTGGAAAATAGGTACATGGTATTGATTGTAAATGGAGTGTACATGGTATTAGGCAACTAAACAATAGCCAATTTTAGGGAGTGATGGAATGCTTGAAAAGATGCCAATATCTTCACCTAAAATCTTCAGCTCATTCACACATACATGTATATCTATATTAATATTAAATGGCAGGATTTACTTGTTTACACACGTGTGATCAATGACCAGAGAATTAGTTGATTTCTGTTATCAGTGAGTGGAACTTTTCTTCAGATGATGGTAGGTTAAAAGGCAAGTTTAAGGAAGTAGTTCTTATTTATTAATAATAAATAATACCTGCTTCCTGAAACTATCTAAATCTATATCTACATATATAGATACTGTTTAATCAGCACCATGTCTTTCTACGAAGATCAAAGTCTTACCTTTCTATTTGCCTGGTCTCCAGTGGTGAAGAATTATAACCAAATCTCATGACTGGAAATCATCAGAATAGAGAAATGTAATTATAATGCTATGGGAATATATTGTTATTCTCATACAACTCATTCCAGAAATTGAATTTTAATTTCTTTGATTCACAGGTCGGCAACAAATTCACCATTGCTTGCTGTTGCCCAGACTCCCTGCTGTCTTAGGATCACAAGTTGCTGCTCTCCACCTTTCTGGATTGAATTTTAATAAACCGGTTAGTACATGTAATTATCATTACAGTAAGAGATACATGGTAAATTACCTCCTTGTAAAGATTAATTTGCATTATAGGCATCATATGTTTTTTTTCATTATATTTTTTCGCTGTCAAAATACCCTGATATTCACATGTTCAATGTTAATTTTATTTTTATTTTTATACCACTAACAATTATTGTGGCCAAGTCTTTTTATTCATTTTTCTATACTTAGCTTACATGATTAATATGATCTATTGACAGATATGTATCCTAATGCTAACAGAATGAGCCAAGTGTCTAAGTTCAATGTACTATGGAAATCATAGAGATTCATCTATGATCAGTAGTTTTGGTTGTATTAAATCTGATCAAATCATTGTTTATATGTTTGCTAATTGCATTTATAAGAAATAGCAATGACATGCACCAGTTGAGATCTAGTTAAAAAGTGGGCATTTTTAAATAAAGAAATGTTGTTTTCATTTGAATGATATTTTACAAATATTTTTAAATACTTTATCATGAATTACAGCTTGAAATTTTGAATAGCATGATCTATAAATTAGAAACATCATAGACAAATTAAATCAAGTCAACAGAGATTTTTCTCTCTGGTTTCCTACTTGCCAAGTGAAGACAAACGGCATTTGGAAAGCATAATAATAGAATGTTGTACTTTCTAAAATATGATTGGTGTCAACTCTAAGTATTAACAGTTAATTTGTATTTTATTATTGTATGCCATGAGCAGGTCTATCAACGAGACAAGCCTCACATCAATGTTGGTACAATTGGTCACGTCGATCACGGCAAGACAACCCTGACTGCCGCCATTACCAAGGGTACGTATACAAGTTATTGCACTGCTTTTATCTATTTATCCTAAAACAGTAGTGCCATAAATACCCTGTTGTGAGATTTTGTTAGCTCTCATTTTTTGGAGTTGTGAGTTTGCTTTAAAGTTAGATTTTTAGTCTCCCAAAATTTCTTCACGAACTTGATCATTTGGTATCCAATGTATTTTCCTAGCTTTAATACCAACAGCTCTGTGCCTGTGATTCACAACAGATTTTTATGGTGGCAAAAATGGAAAACGATGGCCAAATTTTATCAAACATGTGAAAAATAGTAAAATTTGAGGGTTCTATGGAAGATTGAAGTTAATAAAGGAAATAATTAGTGTAAATAGCTTTTGTAACCTTGACTACTGACTAGTTATTTCATTGAGAACTTATGGAGTCAGATTAAGTAGAAAATTTGTATTCATTGCAAGCACCAGGATGACAAACTTAGGTTAGGTAGATCCAGCATAGGTATAGTCAAATGGGGTAAGACAGGATCGCAGCCTTCATGGGGTAAGAAAGGACCAGCCCATATCATGCATTCTAATTGCACTGAATTTAATTTGATAAAAGAATATGTTAGAGCAATCATTGCATGTCATTTCAGTGCTTGTTTCAACCCTCTTCTGCAAATAATGAATTTCTGGCTAATTTTTAAAGAAAACTTATGTAAAGAAGGGTCACAAAATAGTTAACCCTATTTGGGAAATAAGCTCTGTCTAATGATAAAAATTTTTTTGGCCAAGTTTGTGGATGTAGGCATGTAACCTCAAGTAATAAGCAACTTTTGAGACATACTAGGCATTCCCACCTGCTACCTTCACTGCCTGACATGTATTTCAAAATGGGGTAAAAAAGGACCGGACATGGGGTAAGACAGGACCACTAAATGATCCTGCTTTACCCCACAAGTGGTCCTATCTTACCCCACAAATGGTACTATATTACCCCACAAATGGTTACAAGTGGTTGTGTAATCAAATAATGTGTTTCTAGATTGATAATATTGAATATCACGTTTGTACTTTTATTAAAAACCTTGTAACACAAGAATTACCTGTTGGTCCTGTCTTACCCCATGCCCGGTCCCATCTTACCCCAGTGGGGTAAGATGGGACCAGCTCACTTTTTTTAATCTGTACAGAAAACTATGTTGTATGCAGAAAGTCTGAGTTGTAGCTTAGAAGCCCATTGCATAACTACACCTTGTGATAGGTTTAGGGTTTTTTATTTATTCATGGTATAGATGCGACATGCTTGTTAGTGATTTCGGTCCTGTCTTACCCCATCTGACTATATTCAAAATTTACCACCTGTCATTCAAAATCAGCCTATTTTTAGAAATTCTCAAAAATTAAACAAAATTTTTATTGAATTAAATTTTATGTATATAGGTAAATTCACTGCCACCTGTATATGTAAATTCACTGCCACCAGTGTGTAATTTAATGTTTGATGTATTTCTTCAAAAATTTGTCTACTCATTCATCATTCTGTCTCTGTTCAGTTTTGTCGGAGAAAAATTTGGCCATTGCTCGCAAGTACGAGGAGATTGACAATGCTCCCCAAGAGAAGGCTCGAGGCATTACTATCAACGTTGCACATATTGAATATTCTACTGAGACGAGGCACTATGGCCACACTGACTGCCCTGGTCATCTTGATTATATAAAGGTATGCATACTGTTTGCGTTTTATGCAGTAATTTCACCAATTTGTTGGTTCACTTTGCAAATGGGACTGTCATTTTTTGTTATTCATGCCTAATATTTTATGTTATTTGACAAAACAAAGCTCAACGGCAATTAAACTTTTATGATATTTATAAATTATGTACTTGCATGAAGTTCTCTCAACATTAATCAATGACTTCTCAATCCTTCAACACTTATCTGATTATAATTTTGATAAGAATGTTACTGAAATCAACTTAGGGTTTTAATTTTCATTGTGTGTTGAGCAGTACCTACCATATATTTGTTGTCATTTCAGAACATGATCACTGGTTGTAATCAAATGGAGGGAGCTATCCTGGTGGTAGCTGCAACTGATGGAGTTATGCCACAAACAAGAGAGCATCTCACATTGGCTAAGCAAATTGGTATCAAACATCTCGTTGTGTTCATCAATAAGGTGCGTTCATGTTTTAGCTACCATTAACAAAATACAGTTTTCAATAGAGAGGTCATTAGGTTGGTTATTGATGTACCTATCATGGTATAACAGGTTAAATTATTCATACAACTTAAAATGACAGATTTATAATTTCCGCTCCCATTTCTTCAGCAGAAATAAAAACTGCAAATGTATAAAAATTGATGTGATGATGTGACGCAGCAAATGCAGTCTCGAATTAAAAATTTACTGTATTTTATTTTAGCAGTGCCCGTGTCTAAAGTGAAGTAACTTGCTTAATAGTGTATATAATCAGACTTTCGTATACAAAATTCAGAAATAAACTTTGATGCACTATTGTCTAAATTGATTAATTATAATATAATTAGACTTACATATATCCTTGTTGTTTGCATTAGGTACAGGGTGTTTCAGAATTAAGTAACCCTTTTAATTTGTTAATAAATAAAAAACTAAGAACGTTATGAAGTTGAAACTTGTTTTATTTAAAAGAAGAACATTTTCATGGTAATATTGCATCATAGTTACGTCATTATCCTGTATAGCTTGCTAAATTTTAACGTGATTACAGGATCCATTTCAAAACAAGGATCCTTCAAAAAACACATTTAAATATCTTTATCGAAAATTTGCGGATATCAAAAATTTGCACTCTCGTCAGAAACACTAATGAAGGTTATGAAAGCAACGAAGAGAAGAGCCCTATTTTGTCAAAACAATTGTGGTGGGCATTTAAACGATATTATATTTAAAAACTAGGATACAATATTACCATAAAGATGTTCTTCTTTTAAATAAAACAAGTTTCAACTTCATAACGTTCTTAGTTTTTTATTTATTAACAAATTAAAAGGGTTACTTAATTCTGAAACACCCTGTAGTATGTCTTGAAAGTAAACTCTAATGCAGGTTGATGCGGCTGATGAAGAGATGGTGGAGTTGGTGGAGATGGAAATAGGGGAGCTGCTTAGTGAGATGGGCTTTGATGCCTCTACCATCCCCATGGTGAAAGGGTCGGCCCTTGCTGCTGTTGAGGGCAAAACTCCTGAAATAGGTTTGACTGGAATAATTGTGTTATCTGCGTAGGTTGGATACTGAGATTTTGAATTGAAAGTATTTTGAGTAGGTATGTTTCGAGAAGGTTATGGTAGTTAAGTTTCATTTATTTAATAACTTTTACTTATTGTTTCCTAGTTACGTCACGAGTATGTTTTGAGAAGATTATGGTAGTTAAGTTTCATTTATATAATATAAAACTTTGACTTGTTGTTTCCTAGTTACATCTTTTGAAAATGAACAATTATTCTATTTTGAATTTGATTCAGAGTTATTCTTAGTGAGTTAAGCTGTTCTTTCTGGTATTTGGAAAAAACCAAGTACGATTTATATATAGAAGTAAATCTTGAACTGGTCTTAGCATCTGATACTGCTGAACATGCGTCGTTCGTAACTTTCAATGCATCTAATCTGGTATTTTTTGTATTTTCTGTTATAACAACACTTGACGTTGCCACTTATCTGAAGGAATAAAAGAATTGGATTCATTTGGGTTTAAAGTCTTGTGTGTAAATGTTTGTCTTTTTAAGATTTCATGTCACTTGAAGTGCGTGATTTACTTTGAATGAATGTATATGATACTGAAATTTCATGTGCGAGGTCATTTACCAGGAGTGAAGGCCATAGAAGAGCTGCTGAGCAAAGTAGATGAGATCCCGACGCCTGAACGAGACCTCGACAAGCCCTTCATGATGCCCATTGAGATAGTTCACTCCATCCCTAGTGAGTCAGCTCATCATTACAATGAGTTGCAATAACGATTATAAATCAGCCCTTTATGCCGCTATTTCATTATATATATCTATTTATGCCGCTATTTCATTATATTCACATAGATTTTCTTAAATTTATTGCCTCTCGACATTTAAAATTTTAAGTTAAAGTACAAATATTTAATTTGAAGTTAAAGTATCATTACTGAGCATGATCTGTGAATTTGTAGCAAAACTTCTCCAATACTCAGATCGAGGAACTGTGGTAACTGGTCGGCTAGACCGAGGCCGTATCAAGAAGGGCACTGAAGCAGAATTCCACGGCTATGTCAAAAAATTCAAAGGCACCATCACTGGCATCGAGATGTTCCACAAAACATTGGACGAGGCCCAAGCTGGGGACACCATGGCGGCTCTCATTAGAGGGCTGAAGAGGGACCAAGTTCGACGTGGAATGGTATCGTAATAATTATATTATCAGTTGTAGCTGTTTGTGGTGCTAAAGTTTATGCGCGTTCGAGGTAGTGGTCGGCTAGGGTGGTGAATGAACGAGAGTTACCGGAATAGGGATGAAGGCAAAGGAAGGGTGTAAGGCCAAGAAAACCCCCGCTTCGTCTGAATTGCCGATCTAAGAGTTCATGTGTAGTGCTCTGGGGAAAGGTTGGACAGGAGATCCTCTTGCCTGTTGCTCAAACTGGATTCTAGTCACCGCGCTTGGGATTTAGATGGCGCATAGTGCAGCTAAGCGGTATAGCCAAGTGGTAGGTAACTGCTGTTACATCTCTGACCAACTTCTCAGAATTGGTCAGAGGTGGTGAGGTGGCCTGGACCTTGTTGTTCTCAGTGATTTCCGCGATACGGGAAGAAATATTGTGACTGAAGGGTAGCATTCACGAGTCATGCTTCATTTGAGAGTATCAACAAGAAATGGGAGGATGGCAGGGGATGACGCCTATTTAAATGTAGATGTGGTTGATAAAAGCCTTCTAGAGACCGCATGGGGCAACTAGTATCGTGTCACGAATGTTGTGTTACACATCATGTTAATGTTGGAAGTATGAAGCTTCCGTCATGTGAATAACGTGTTGTAAACAGTCGATTTATACGCGTTATGATCACGATTACAATTTCTTATTACAAAGGCCATGTCTGTTCAGGTGATGTGCAAGCCCGGAGCAGTGAAGGCTCATGACCACGTTGAGAGTCAAGTCTACATCCTGACCAAAGAAGAGGGTGGCATTGACAAACCCATCATTCCATTCCAGCAGGTATGACAGCTTCATCATTGTTATTGTCACTTCGTAATAAAAACCGCTTGAGCAGCCGTGTCAGTCGCTCAAGCAGCAGGAACAATCGATTCTCGGACAATAAAATTCTATTGCTTTCCTGCTTCCCAGCAACCTTTTTTTTCATGATCGAGGTAACCTGATGCCAAACTGAAAATATTTGAAGTATATTTTAGACTTGACTATTTCAGTTAGTTTCAGGGATAAATATACATGCTCTTCTCAGAAAGGTTTGGCTTCATCCAGTTCATCGCCATTCGATGTCTAGAATTGAATTTCCAACATAAGCTCGTGAATAATTGTTATTTGATTTGCAGGTTCACGTGTTCTCGATGACTTGGGATGTAGCTGCTCAGCTCACGCTTCCTGACAAAGAGATGATTATGGGAGGCGAGGATGCTAGGTAAGTGCACATTTTTCATTCTAAGAATTCATCGAAAATTTCATCACATGCTCATTGAAATTCGGAAGGTTTTCTCACGGCGTGATTTATGTTGCCCGTTATCATATTTTTCAATTTTTTTCTTCAAGTCAATCAGTATTCAGCGCACTATGTGCGCATTTCAAATTATTATCTAATACGGTATCTCGTATAATTAGATAGCAACTGCAATTGTTGCAATTCAATATTCGTCAATAATACTTATTTAGCGTCATGTTTAATTAGCCAAGTACATTTGGATGTGGCCACAGAAAACTTGATTATAGTCAGAATTGCGTGCAAGTTGTAGCCTAAGCAGACGGAATGTAACTCATCTCGGTTCTCATCTTGAAGTTAATTTTTGGATGTATCTTTTGTTTCGACACAATGGCCTAAGCTTTAGGGTCTCTACCATTCTGAATTCCATATTTTCCTCACTGGTGAATGGTGAAGTCTTCATCTAGCCAGTTCTCCTAGGTTCCTAATACCGCATGTTCCACAGACTGGTGATGAAATTCATCAAGCCGGTGGTGGTGGAGCAAGGCCAACGGTTCACTATCAGGTCCGGACACAAGACCGTTGGTACGGGGGTTTTCACCGCCATCCACAAGGATCTCACCGAAGACGAAAGAGAAGACTTCCAGCTTAGCAAGAAGAAAAGGGCAAAGAAGGAAGCGCTCAGGGCTGCCAAGGCTGCCAAATAAATTGATCTATCGCTTTCGAGTGTTTGCTGAGCATCAAACAGGGTCTGTAAATGATGATGTCAACCCGTTAAACTCAGCCGATGCCATAATAACATTTTAAGAAAGAGATTAAGTCTAACTGTCAACTAAATTTTATTCAAGAGTCTCAATCCACAAATTCATTCATTGACTTTAATTCGGAAAACTCGTAATATAGCAATTCTACGTCAAGGAATTTACTCAACAAGATTAAATATAACTTTGTTTAGCTGCTCTAAGGTTATATTCCAAACGTGCACCACACTCAATTCATCCTGTTTCATCCATTCACATGTAATTGCTTTCTACCAAATTATTTGTCCCACTGCATTTGGTTGCCTGCATTTTTTGTCTAAAAAAACTAGATCTATCCGTATCGTTCCAACAAGCAATTGGCTGGAGCTCCAGCAATGAGGATAGAATCTGAAGATTTTCTCGTGTTAGTCTTTTGCTCGCCTGGGAGAAATGTTGAAAGTTAAACCTATCCGCAAGGTTAATCCCGTAATGGAATAACTTTTGTTGTATGAAATGTTGTACCTCTTGTAGTATATCCATCTCGTAATGAACTACCATTGGCATTCTCTCTGTTAATAATGCTAAGTTTATAAGGATCTGCATCATCACGGCAAGAAATCCTTGTCAAGAAATTCTTATTGGTGTCTCTGTTTAATTACCCCTCCATGTGCCTTCTTACCGACTTCCGTAGGGATACCATACGAACACTCGCTTATCTTCCCATCAACGTATCACAAGGATACCCCGTCAATACCACGTGAACTTCAAACCTTATCTTTTTTCCTAGCAGTTTATATTCGAAGCGATGTCACAAGACTTCAATAACCCGACTGAAAATCTGTCTTTTTATGCCTGAAGATTGTGTAACTTTTTTCTAACTAGTTTCAAACCGAAATTTGCTTGATCATAACTTCAGGTTTAGCACGAGTCACGAACTATTTACTCGTGGAAGATTTCAAACTTATGGCTAATTCTGGATTATCCACTGGAAATGATTACTCGAAAATCGTGTTTTCTGTTATTCAATTGTTTCCCTTTGTTGCGCTTACAGTGAGTATTGGGGCTTCAAGTCGTGTCCTGATTATTTTATGTCCTGCTTCCATGATCACACTTCATAGATTCGAGACTCCCGCGAAGAGCAGAGGTTATCTTGCCCTGCTGGGGAATTTGGACGCTCCCCCGGGTTCTTTCTGTCTATAAAATTTTATTAACTCTTGTCTAACCACTAAAGCAGTGATTTAGAGGGCAGTTCGCTGTGTTAATTTATACGCAACTTTCTACAAGTATTACGTCCTTTAGTTTCTGACTTCCATAAGTTTTAACAATTCAGGTGAACTGCTCAGTTTTTCATTGAAGTCTTGCTTGATGCTCTCGTGGACAGTTCATATTTTGGAGATATGTTAAGCAGCTTGCACATGCGTGGCCATGCAATTTACCTGCCTAATCAATGCACATTTCTGGTCGTTAATGCTTAGCGAGCGTTAAACAAAAGTTCGAATCTTAGCGCAACGACAAACTTATAAGGATATTCCTTTTTTTGCGGGGAATGAGGTACTTTCAAAGGAATCGAGGAAAAGTGATAAGATTTTCAATTAAGCATAAGCATTTGATCCGTTAATTAAATTGGAATAATTGCCCGATATAGTCGCCGCTTTTTGTATAGACTATTATTTTACCTTAAATTCGCTCTATCCAAGGTTAATAGCAAAGTATTCAGGACCATTATTGCAGCTGCAGTTGATGAAACTTGGTTTGTCTCTACTCCGCTGTTCGTCTGTGAACAAGGTGGGTAGCTAAGCTGGACAAGCTGTAAAAGCCGTTATTGCAATATATTATTAGTCTAGAAACTGGAAATACTTGAAAACCTATGCATAAGTAACTGTGTTAGTATTTCTCAGAATAAATTTATCCATGGTGAGTCAAATAGATTTCATAAATTAATTCACGTAAATATATATATCCAACGATAATATGTATTGGACGCCCTCAACTTCTCGACTCAGCGGTCGCGTCAGCATAGCTTAAAATTAAAGATGGAGCTATCAATAACCCTGGATCCTGATGAAATTCGACCATAGGCAATCAGTCTATAATCAAACGCGTATTTTCGTCTATGTGAGCTTCGGTTAAACAAGCTGAGCTTGGATCTCTATTGAGTGTCTAAAAAAGCACAGGATATGTTGATTGAAAATGATGCTTTGTGTAGGAAAGTGAACGGTCGTTCACAATGATTTCAAATCCAGAGGTACCGGTATTCTCTTTCCTCAAAACTAAATTTTAGTCATTATCAAGATTTAGTTTATAGTAGTTGTAGGCATAGATGCTGATACGATTTATTTCATCTGAAATATAATACTTTAACGTTCATGCTGTTTTCAGGTTGCCATGGAATTGACAGACGTCGTCCGAACTCTGAACAAGTTTGCCCCGTTGAGATTTGCAGGTTCTTGGGACAACGTAGGACTGCTGGTAGAGCCTCCCTCTCTCTCGAACGTATCCAGGATGTTGTTGACGAACGATCTCACAGAACCCGTTCTGGAAGAAGCTGTAGCCGGCAAGGCAGACTTCATCCTCTCCTACCATCCACCGATATTCCAGGCCCTGAAGAAAGTCACCCAGCGTCACTGGAAAGAACGAATTGTTGGGACATGCTTGCAGCGCGGCATTGCTGTTTATTCTCCTCATACGGCGTATGATGCTCTTCATGGAGGTGTTAATGACTGGCTTGTCGGGGTTTTCGGTGATGCCGTTGTTGAGCCTCTGGAACGTTCAACATCCTCGTCTCCATTTTCTCATCAGCTCCAAGTCATTTCCGTTGATGAATGCTCCACTAAGAATCTTCAAGACGAGCTATCTGCTCTCAAACATTCTCCCTATGCTATTTTGTCTGATGCGCATCAATTACCTGTCACAATTTTGAGTTCCCAGAAAGATTTGCCATCCCTAATCTCGATTTTGATTAATTTCAACGCCAAATTTGTTCTAAGCCACTGTGAAAACGTTCCAGAACTTCACACAGGCATGGGAAGGCGGGCCACACTTTCTGCACCTGAGACCATCGGAAGCATTATCCAGAGACTTAAGACCTTGACAGGTCTGTCTCACGTACGTTTGGCCCTTGCGATGAATCATAGCCTAGATACGATAGTGAGTTCAGGTGCGGTGTGCGCTGGTTCCGGCATTAGCGTTCTTAGGAACGTTCAAGCTGATCTGATCGTTTCAGGCGAAATGGGACATCACGACGTTCTTGAATTCACGCAAACGGGGCGATCTGTTGTGCTCCTCGAGCATTCAAATTCAGAGCGTGGCTTCCTATCGGCTGTACTGCAGCCTAAATTACAATCGCTGTTTAAGAACAGAATTTCGGTGGTTGTGTCCCAAAAAGACCGCGATCCATTACAGATCGTCTGAGGTGAACTGATATCTCATGGAAAATCGGGAAATATTTTGGATCCTTTACACTAAAATGGTACCTTTACACTCTCTAAACTTGCAACTTTCCTTATATAATTACGTTAATGTTATTAAATAGTTGGTTAATCGTGGGGTGTATCGCTTTACAAACTCTTAATAGTGTTTCCATTCCTACAGATTTATCTTTGTGGTGCACTTACTACGCTAATTGGTTTTCATTCAAGTGCGTGTGTTCGCCTTCTTGTGAGGAAATGAAGGCATTTTATGTATCGGATTTCTGTGGTCAGTTTGTCTCTAATTTGCGTCTTTTATTGCATGTTATGAGCGCCTCGGAAGCTTCATTTCAAAAGGAAGTGTGTTGGCGGTCTACATTTGTGCTTCCGTTCAGATCCTCTGCTTCTCAATCTCTTGCGGGTATGAAATCTTGTGCCCTCGGTAATCCAACAAAATATTCTCTGTCGTCCATGCCGGCAGTTGTTCCTTGCATAAACGAAATGCGCTACTCAATTTCATCTGCTTCCAATTCCTCTCATAGTCAAATTGTGGAAAAAAATACCTTTCCTGGGCCATTGGGATTCCTTTCCTCTGCTGCTTTACCAACGTCAAGAATATCTCAGAATAGCATTCAAGAAACTCGAGTCTTCGATAAATTGGCAATTACTCGAAATACAGTCGAAGTTTTACACGTGATAACTCCTTTTTATGCTCAAAATCGCAATTTTTCGAACAAGCCGCCCAAAATTGATCGCTCTCGCGTGCCGGAGCTGCGGGAAGAAGACCTGGAAGAGAAGTTTATCTGCGGTTGGGGACCTGGCGGTCAGAGCATCAACAAAACTGCCAGTGCTGTGTACCTCAGGAATATTCCATCCGGTAACTTTGCTGAGCTTCATGTTCATTTTTATTCTGTAAACAATGAATTAGGTTTGTGCCCTTTGATCATACGAAGTACTTATTGTATGGAAATGAGATATATATTCAGTTTCCGCCCGCTAAAACTAGCCGATCGTTTCAGGTTTATTTGTGAAGTGCCAAACGTATCGGGCTCAGCACCAGAATCGTAAAGAAGCGCGATTGCTGCTGCAAGAAAAACTGGATATGTTGATGAACGGTGAAGACAGCGTCGTTGCCCAGAAGCGGCGACTGCTCGAAGCTAAATCCAGCCGAAGAGAAAACAAATCTAAGAAGAGGCGGCAGCTCCAGGCTGCCTGGAAACAGAGCTTGCTTGATGAGGAACCAAAATCGTTGTCTACTGAAGCTGGACTCACTGTCAACAATGACTCTCAATAATCTCAACTTATATCTTTCTCTACAAATATGAAATTCAGTGAATTATGTGTGATGCGGCGCGAAGTTCATTCAAAGATCTGTACTCTGTCCAAAGAAAATATTTTGCAGGCATGGAATCAATAATTTATTCTGAATCAGAAAGTGTTTCTTGAATGCAAACAGGTATTTGAATTAAGAATTATTCATGAAAAAAAAAAGTTCACATTAAGTAACTTGAATTTTGTGTTGTTCCTGTTTATGATCGCTTAAATATATGGCAGTTGATTTTGTACTTATTTCAGTGAAGTTTTTTTATTCTTCCATCATATAGTAGAAAATCATAGTCGATTTTTAAAACGTAATTGTATCTCGTTTAATGTGAATTTTAAGTTTTCACACTAAGTAATGTATGGAAGCAGATTATGATGGGGTCTAAAATGATTAACTCTAACTGATGTTTCCTAAACTGTCTTTGCGACGGCTAAACGTCAGTCATTAATTAGTTGTGTGACAAGCTGTCACTCTACAGATGTCGCCCGGAAACTTCTCCTGGTGAGTGGCATTTCCAGTATTCACCACACCCAATTTTAACGAGACAAGCCTTAACTTTGCAGTCATCTTAGAAGCTTGGAGAAACATTGTGGAGGGGAAATTATCTCGGAAATTTTTCAAATTTTTATTTCATGAAAACATGTTAAACATTTACCAAAAATAAAGTTTAATTGTAAGGTGTCTAAAATATAGCTCTTAATTTTAACTAATTATCTGGAAAAAAATTCACTGTACTACAGAGGTAACAGGTACAGGGGTAAAAGTAAACAGGTAACAATCTATAATTATTAGCAAATTAACAAGGATATAATGCAAGTCTTTAAATATCTTCGATGCACTAACTAAATAAATTACATGGCAAGAAATGGCTGCGTATTGACTGGTAACTTAATTCGAGATCTTAATTTCAAACGCAGCTCCTCGATTTGATGCTGAGGAAAAGACGGCTCACCTTCCCGTTATTATTTAACGCTTACACGGTATCGGTAAAAGATGAGCATGTTTAGGTATATTATGTTTTTACGACACTACTGAAGATTCATTTAGTTGGAGGATTTATCCATCGTACTGGCCAGCCAGTAGTGTTAAAAATAAAACTTTAAAGAAGGGACTTTTTCCGGCCAATTGGAAAGAAGCTTTATACTGCTTTAGTGACACTACTTTTTTTTTAAATGACGTCAGTAGCCCCTGTAACTATCGTACTGTCAGTCTCGAAAGTGTTCTTTGTAAAGTAATGGAATCTGTTGTGATGGATGGAATTATCGATAACTTGAATATTAGCCATCTAGCAGTCTGTCAGCATGGCTTTAATGTCGGCAGATCATGTAACACGAACCTCTTGTCTACCTTTAATGATTGGAGAACGCCTTCAAGAACAGACTAGACAATGTTATGCAAAAGCATATGTTCAGTCGTGAGATGCCTCTCACCCTACGAAAATAGTAAAAGTCCAGTGATAATGTAAACCAACGTCAGTTGAAAGGAAAAGTACAAGAATCGACTACAGGCCTATTTCTTCAACGCTGAAGATGCTATGCAATTCTATGCACTTGTCACTGCGAACAGTAACACTGACGAAGCGAAACGCGCTAGTGTGCTCCTGAGCGCTCTGCACGAGGAGAGCGACGACAGCGACGTAGCGGCCAAGTTCGAACAAAATAGCTTACGCTACAACGTGGCGGTGCCTTCAGTCTTAAAATGCCTAGCAACTTACGGACCAGGCAATAAGTCCAGCAGCTATCTCAATCAATCGTCAGTTATGGAAAGATCGGGTTCCAAAGGCCGGATCCCTTGTGAATTCAAGTCACGAAAAGTTCAAGAAACGGCAACAGGCCATGAGCCTATTTCTTCAGTTCCCACACTTCTATTCTATTAAATCTATGATTTCGCTTGATATTGCGAGCGTTCTAATTTACGGACGACTTCAAGGGAGACGAATATATAATTAATGAATCAATTAATTATTCTCTATATCTTCTACTAATCAACAACAACTAATTTCATTATTTGTACGTTTACGAATGAGCATTGCCTTGAGAGTTGCTAAAAATCACAATCTAAATGCCTAAAACTAATCACATGTATTGCATTCTACATCAAACAGTAGGCAGAATGAATGAGTAATTTCACATTTTAAGTCACGATACGAAATCGGGTAACAATACGAGATCCTAATTTTAAAAGTACATGGAGGATCATAAAGAACGCTAGATTACTGATGAGCTTCATCGTGCTGAATAACGAGTATATACGGTACCTAGTAAAATTTTATACATAACTGCAATTTGAATCTATTACCTACCTACTGGGAAAGGCAAATTTATCTCAACTGGCACCGATACACAATTCTTGGTTATTGAATATTAGTTACCATTTGTATCCTTGGCTGATTTGTTTCATGATCTCGGGTCCAAATTGGTAGACCATCTGCTTCTCGCGAACTTGCAGCAGAATATTTTTCTTGTAGTAGTGCCTGAAATTTGAGTGATAGAAAAATATTAAAAAAGACAATGACAGGTATCAAAGTTTCTACGACGCAAGCCAAGGTACGGATCATGGAAATATGAAGCAATTTGCAATATATTTTTCTTCAACTAAAGTGTTTTACGAAAAGTTAGTCTTAATTAATAATTAAGTTGTAATTAAAAACATATTATATTAAATTATCAACTTTTAAGTATCTAAACTGAGAATTCATTTGCGTAACAGTAGACTGCAATCGGCATTGTGGATATTATACAAAGAATTTTGTGCAGTTCAAAATAGGATCCTTGCTTGGCAAATAACATTGTAGGTTTTGAACTAAGAGTTGAAGTGCATATCGAAAAGGACTCAATAATCAACATTGTGGTAATTGTACAAAGAATCAATTAGCAGTGCAAAGTAGACTCTTAGCTCAGTAACAAACGTTGTAGTATTTGAACTATAAGTTTAGCTGCATAACGTATATTGACTCACCTCAATAATCGAGCAACACTCTCATAAGGAAGGCTATGTCCGTCAGAACCTTTGCGTCGACCCCACGCGGCGCTGATCTTTTCTTTCTGCATTAGTCGGAAAGTTCCTCGAGCCTCGTCTTCCCAGCGCACGAACTGTGGGTTTGTTCTAGGGTCTTGCAGCAAGCGAATTATGAATTCCCATATTTTTGGATTTCGGTCTGGAAAATAAATTAATAATGTTGTTTTTTTATTGCTTACGGTTGAGAGCTAAAGGCGAATAAATTTTTATTACTGAATAATTTCCGGGACTTCTGTGAGCATATGATAGGAGAAAATACTAAATTTTGGGGGTTACTTAATAAATTTTGTTGAAAGTTATCACATAATTAGCAAATAAATTAATACTATTATATCATTTAGAGGCCTTACAAATGGAAAAAGAAGCATCACTAATATAATAATTAGTTTTTCAACTCACATCTGCTCTTGCGAAGGCCTCCCGATGGTATTTTTTGGAACCAATGAGAGGAGTTGATGATGTCGTCCTTCAGTTCTACTTGCTCGACTTTCATTGGCCAAGATTCCTGCGCTGTAAAATGAGAACCAGTCTATAAAAATTTGGTTCTCAAACAATTATCAACTACTCGACTAGTGTTTTATGCCATCTCTTGTAATAAAAACAGCCTATGTAGTGATCATTGACTGTATTGATAACGAGCCCTGTTGCCAAGTTAATATCTTGGCAACAGCCAGAAAGTCTAAACCCCATAATGTGTTGTAAGTAAACGATTCAAATCATCCCTGAACGATGCAAATCTCCAGTGCTCTAAACTCTAAAGCAGCCCTGGTACCTCGGGCTGAATGGACAAATCTTCCCCACCCGTGGTGGTGAAAATTACTCTCGAGATTTACTAAACTTTTGCTACTGTCAATAAACCAATTATATTTTAGAGGCTTGCCTACATGCAAATTTCGTAAGTATTTAATCAATCAAAATATTTAAGTTTCTATCACAGAAAATTTAATTTGTTCTTCAATTGTAAGGTAATTATTACCGATCTCAGCGACGTCGGATGCAGGTTGCCATATTTCATCAAGGTTAAGCTTCTCAATGCGAGGCTCAAGGACGTTGCTCATGAGTCCAGGCGGGGAATTTGGATTAGTGTCATAACCATAAGGTGAAGACGAGCTTGAACGTTGATAAAATTCTTCAGCAAAATCGCTCGACGAGTTGTCCAGACTGTTTTCGAAGGAGGTGTCAAGAAAATTTTCTGATCTATATTTTTGGGACTCTTCATCGAATGGATATGTCATAGCCGATTCATAATTTTGTAACATCGTGTCAATATCATCGCTGCAGCTGTAGTAAGATGAATCAAGTGTTTCAATGTTCTTGAGAGTTGAAAAGTAATCGTTGCATCTATAATCTTGAAATTCTTCGTTGTTGGATGGCACTGATGATACATTGTGAGAGAACAAGGAACCCTCATTGTGTGTCGATTCAATAGGTTCTACCATGTTTTTTAGGGTAGTGTACTGAAGACCTGTTGGCATATCGGGACGAAAATTTATTGGTTGGAAGGTGCAACTATTCCACACTGTTGCATATTCTACTTTGTTTAAAGGAAAATTATGTACAAATTTCTTATACGATTCATTCTCATTTGTGACCTGGGTATTCGATATGTAGAGTTATAAATAAATACAACTAAAAAGTGAAATGAACTGTCAAGAAATGTTTACAAAAATACAAGGATAACGTTTTAATAGGAACCTATTAGACCATTGCAGCTTCCCGTACAGGATACTATCAACTTGATGCTTTCATCACTCACCAGATGCAAGCATGGACTGCCCCTCTTCTCTTATTTTATTATAAAACACTGGGCCGTATTCGGAGTCAACGTTGGCTGAGAAGTCGCCGAGATTCCAGCTAAGAAGTTGTTTTCCGGTTACGCATCGGAAAACGTGGAAGTTTTTACAGTTCTCGTACGGTAGATTCTCAGCTCTGCACACCGCCAGAGCCCATTCGAAACAATCCTGCAGAAATACGAGCAGAAGAAAATTCTGTTACTCATTTCCACTTTACAATTTCAACAAATCGCGGTTAGTATTTAATTAACGTATAAATACAGTTTGAACAATTTACCGAAATTTAGCAGTAAAGCTAAGCCATTTATGATATATTATATTAATCTATTTACAACGAAACAATGGGCATGCTTGTAGGCCCCACTCTGAAGTATTGGAGTGAACTTGCATATCCTAACTTAGTGTAAGGAAATAATGGAAGATTCAGTAGAAAGTGAAAGTGAACTGTCGAATTTAAAACTCCGAAACTTCATTCCAAGTATACTAGATCTCAGGGAATTCGTTGAGTTTCCTCTGAAATAATGTGCTTGGCAAATAATTAGGTAATTATAATTAGGTTGCTTTTTGAAAACATAAAGTGTAAATTATCTACTCAAGAAAATTGTGGCACCATAGGATTTTTGTTCTTAAAAGTTGAGTATTTATATTTTACACTCGAGAAAGAGGCGGAAGTTCGTTATTAAGTTCAAAATTATTGCATCATATCAGAAATTATTCAGCTTAAAATAGAGCGTGATATCTTCGCTGGCTCAGTTTGTGATCGTGAAGGCTATTCAACCGCTCTGAAAACCGTTGCATTATTAAGTCTTTGACTGATCCAATATATAATGTTTAATAGTAATAGATTTACATCAACCGGGAATCACTAAATAATTTATCACACTATTTCATAGATTATACTATTCAGGTTTTTCTACGCTTTAAAATTTTATGCTTTCAGGGTACATTTGGTGGAGTTTTACTTCTACTTAACCTGATCGTTGCCCGGGCCCTGCAACTCGTACTCACATCGCTGGTCCAGTTTTCTATTCCGCGGTTACGGAAGCTTTCCAGTGAATCGTGTAGGCTTTGCCACCGGTGGCAGGGATAAAGCTCTTGCCATTGGTCGTCTACGATTTGATTCACAACAGTTTGTTCAAGATCTTCAAGCAAACTTGGGTTATTTGTGAGGTGCAGTTCATTTTGTGTCAGATAAGTATCACCAAAGTTTAAAGTACTATCGTACAAGGTTGAAAAGTTTGGCAAAGTGGACATCATAAGTAGGTAAATGACTGTTGCATAAGGCGTTAGAAGCGAATTTCATCTACGATTTGTAGGAGCAGTAGCAAACAGTTGCTCTCGCCACAGATCTCGTGAAGCAAATACTACCTTGCTGTCCTTCCCCAAGATATAAATAGCTAGCTGACCAGACAGGTTATGTCGTGCGGTTGAATAATACGGCGCCGGAAACATTTGATTATAAAACGTTCTTGGTTGCCTCAGGAGCAGTTGAACCTTGCCAGGTTCGTTCATTGGCTGGAAGAATTCGTTCAGTTTCGGGGTTAGTTGTTCCCATGCAGTGACTGCATTGTGGATTAACGGCAACTAAGCGCGGGCTATTCATCCACAATAACGATATTTTAAATTTACCCTTCGATCAATTTTCATAAAAAAACGATCGAGGTAAAATGGCATGAACCCTTATCTCTGGAAATCTTTGAAAGTCGAGAACCCTCACGCTCCGCCTCCAAACGGGTTTTTCAGGTTAGCAACACGTTACGCCACTGTTGCGACCAGCCCTGCGAGGGCTCGGTCGGAGGACCAGGACAATAACACATTCGTGACGCTCGAATACCAGATACCTCAACACGATCTAACTTTTCGTCCTCTCTTTGACGTCACGGCATACCAAATAAGTAAAAATGTCTGGTTGAAGCCTCAGGGTAAACTTAAGACTCATGTAGTTTGGTGGCCCTTGTAAAAATTCTCTTTTGACATTTACTTTTGTAACGGTGAATTTTAGCATGGTTTGTTGGGTTCTCAAAATATCGAATTAGCAATGACACCGCGCCAGATTAAATAATCTCAGTAGACATTGCAAAACATCTTAGATTTTATTGAGATTGGGTCCTTCAAATTCAGTCGATCCCCGATGTTAATTGACTTCCATTACAAAGAGAGACAACTTCATGTTACTATTTGAAAATATTTCAATTCTGTACAGAGAAATTTACGGAAATTAATTCTGTAATCGTTGTGAAATAACTTAGAATGAATTGTTCGTTACCCAGTTCGTCTGTCACCTATTGAAGACCTAAAATTTGCAAACTTTATTCCCAAGTTTGACGAATCTACATCACTCAACTCTTAAACTTATTGACTAGTTAAATTTATTCAAAAAATATTGCAACTGGAGACAAGTGGACTAGGTATATATTATTTTAGCCACCAGAGTTTTTTTCACCGCGCGTTTAATGTATTGTCTATTCTGGGATCTTGTCTTGAGCAGTCTGGGATCTTGTCTTGATCAGTCTGGGATCTTGTGTCGATCAGTCTGGGATCTGGTCTTGAGCAGTCTGGGATCTTGTCTCGATCAGTCTGGGATCTTGTCTTGATCAGTCTGGGATCTTGTCTTGAGCAGTCTGGGATCTTGTCTTAATCAGTCTGGGATCTTGTCTTGATCAGTCTGGGATCTTGTCTTGATCAGTCTGGGATCTTGTCTTGAGCAGTCTGGGATCTTGTGTCGATCAGTCTGGGATCTTGATATTGCCTCATCAAGATCCTAAAATTTTGAAACATACTAACAAGTATGTACGCTTATTAACACTTGATAATATAGCTGATTCGTGATTTTTACCGAAATCCTGTAATTATCCAACTAAACCACGTCAACAGAAACAAATGAACACAGCAAGGACGATCGATATCTCCGAAGGCTGCTCACAATTTTTCTAGTTTTGTGCTTCATTTACGTTTGGTTTCGTTTTTTAAGTAATAGAATGTTCATAACATGAGCTCTATTTAGTGCCAAATTCGAAAAAATTACTCGTAATTTCATTCTCTTGTTGGTTGTACAGAGTTAAGACGGAAAATTTGATTTTTATGACTTGTCTCTTGGAAGAGGGTCTCTAAACTTAGTTCATTGCTGACCATAACTTTTTTATTATTTTTTTGCTAAAAATTGCAGCGTAGTAATTCTCCGAAACATTAAAGTCTAGCGGTTTACATCTTACATCACAAGCAGTTAATGTCGTAGCAGCAGTTAACTTCTCAGGAACTTGAAATATTTTCGAAACTTAAAATCTTTTAGTAATTTGGTAGCCGCCAGACAAATAAAACATTATCTAGTAGTTGAACTAAGTTTAGCAGGCCGCTAAGTATCAGTTTGAAGAATGATACTACAGTAAGTAGATAGTTTACGATTCTCTTCATTGCAATAACAGTTGTTCCGTATTTGGTCCACCACCTCTGTTGGGAAAAGCTGTAACATTTTAGCAGTTCCAGCACTCACTGACATCAGAGCTTCAACTAAGAAAGTTACTCAAAATTTGAGTTTAAATTGAGCAACTTGTTGGTAGTTGAGAGGTTGGTTGCTTTGCTAGGTGCATTGTTAGGTCGTGCAACAATCTTCATTTATTTTATATTGTCACCTTTGACGGTTACTTTCGCTCTAACCTTTTTTTTGCGAGGTACCTACCGAGAAGTTATACACGAACGCATCAGGAGGATATACGCGTTCAGAAGTACGTATTAGTATTGCGATGATCAATGATCGATATTTGCGAACGGTATTCTATCTGTAGTGTTATCAAATTTACGACTTGTGTTTTTTTGTGAATTATACCTTTTCGTTTAAATTGGCAACACTGTGTATAGGTAGTTTACGTCATATTTCACATTTATTCATTGGTCACCTTTCGGCTGGTCTTCACAGCAGGTTAGTTAGTTATAGGTCATTTGTATACGTTCCTTTGTAATTATATAAATAACCGTTATATTATATGTTATATTATATTGTCATTTCTTTATTCATATCTTAAACGACAATTATTTATTAGATTTACTTACCGATAGATCCACACGTTGCCAAGGATATATGATTATTATTTTCATTTCATTAATTTTGCTTGTGATATTTTAGCTTAACTGCATTTGCCAGTAACAGTCAATGTATCTCCTTTGAAATATTGCATTTAATTTCCGATCTAATACAACCGTGGAAACCTTCAGTTCACCTCGTACCTCGATCAGTGGGGTAATGACTGGCATTTACCCCACATATCCACGTATACGTTAACCTCAAAACCCATTAGTAATTGTACCGACAGTTTCAATACTCTCATGGTTTTCTAGACTCACCATTAGGATTTTGAGGTCAATTATATACGATCCAAAGTTATATACGATCCAAAGTATTTAAATTTATGAATAACTTATTCATTGCATCATTATTAATTGCCGCCACTCAAATATATTACGTTATGCTATGAGAAATGCAAGTATACGATAAAATTCACCAATTCCATGCACTGCACGTTTGGGAAGTCCAAGATTGTTTTGCGTTGCTCTTACATAGACTTATAAAAACCTTTCAAGGCCGCCGTCTCATAATATGACCTCGTGATGAAGTCTTATAATAGACAACTGAATTCCAAGATTCTGCTTGGAGTTCACAGGCTAAAAGTCTATAGGACATAGGTAGATAACAATAGCTCAATGCCATTCATGCCCCGTATGCTAGGGTGAAGAGCTGCTGCATCTCTTGTCATCGAGATTAGGATTAAAGAAGCGGGCGTATAACTCAACTAACCAATCAAAATTACCTTCAATTGTAGTATTAATGCGAGACTAACTACAAGGAATATCATAATATACATAATCTTAATTGGCAAAATATTGAAAATAAACTCGTACATCACCACGTTATCATTCCACTAGAACAATTTTCCAGCGCCTATCACAGGTATATTATTTCAATTGTCGCAATTCGTAGAGACCCAGACCCGTCCTTGAATTAGGAAAAAACTCCGATCATTCGAAAACAATCGTTCAAATTTTTGGCTCGCCTAAAATTCAGTTAAAACGATTGTAAAATAATGAAAATGTTTCAACTAAGTTCCCTAATTCGTTCCAACTCTCTGCATATCGCTGGCAGCATGTGCAGAACAGGAGGTAACAGGGCTTATGCTATGTGCAGAACAGGAGGTAACAGGGCTTATGCTATGTGCAGAACAGGAGGTAACAGGGCTTATGCTATGTGCAGAACAGGAGGTAACAGCGCTCAATGCTCTCCTGACAGATGCTGCTGGCGTCTTATTCCTAGAAACTTGTGCGCCAAAAGCGTCAATTTTTCCGCCCAAACTCCAGGAGAAATCCCGGGATGAAAATCATTTCTTGGTAAACATTCTTTTGCGGTGAATTTGTCCTTTAAAATTCAATTTCCTATTAATCTTTGAATTTACTGTCATGAAGAGGTTCTTGTTTATCCACGATGAAATCTCTCACGAAGAAAAGAACATTTTCCTGCTTCGTGCAAGTTTTTGTGGTAATAATAGTAGCTGCAGTTACTTTTCTTACCTTGAAATACATAAATGTTACTTACAGGTAAACTGAATACAAATTTTGAACGGAGGTAATAGTACCGTTTACGAAATTGTTGAAAAATATACAAAAAAGGCGAATTATTTTCATGCTGATTTTATCCTGCGTTTAAATTGTCTCAGCACAAATAAGTAACGCTGCTACGTGGATTCACTAAACGATTTCTCTAGCTTCGTATATTTTTTCTCAACCTAGTTAAAGCTCCTCAACCATTTAAAATTGAAATATTTGCAGCATCAGTTACTCCTCTGTTGACTACGAGGATATTCCGTGAACTTGGTTAAGACCGAAGCACCAAGTTTCCTAGAAAGCTGTATTATCTTCGCAGTAACTGCATTAAAACTTCCTTGATACGTTTTTTATTGCGGACTGCTCTGATCGTTACTTGAGCTGCATTGAGATCTCCAGGCTCCTTTACTTCATGCCGAACTTTGTGATCTTTACTCAAATGGCGTTGTTTGATATAACTTAATTACGTTATTTTTACCAGAAAAAAATATAACTCAGTACTCACTGCAGTGAGCGCATTTTCTCGCCGACGAAAACTTGAGGTCACGCACGGACAGACGGACGGACAGACAGACAGACGGACATGGCGAGCACAATAGTGCATTTTTCCATAAATGAGAAAATGCGCTTAAAAATGAATGATTTCTCTTATTTTCAGGGAAAATTTAATTTCGTCTTTCGTCTCATTATCGTGCACAGGCCATTCATGCACTGCGCTGCGGTTAACACACGACCAAAATCTAAAATTATTCTGAATA